TACACCTACTTTGCTCTTTCGTGTAGCGAAGAAAGAATATCGTGGTACTTTGATACATTAGGAAAAATATGACGTGCATTGGACCAAATATTGAGATCGTTCAGATGATCTTGCAACCTCAGTGAGGAATCGGCGGTACGATGTTTGATGCCCGAGACAATGTCGTTGGTATATTTTATTAGGGTCGCTTTTTGGGGGCTGTTATTGAGCTGAGCTGAGCTGACGCAAGTAGGAAAGAGAAAAGGCACAAGAAATGCTCCCTGAAGAACACGGGTTAATGATTGCTGGGGAGGAGCATCTGCCACCGAGTCGGGTAATCTGAGTGCGTCCAGCAAAATAAGCAAATGGAAGATGGAGGGATGTATTCCTTGAATGAATAGATCTTTCAGCAGCAATTCGCGGTTTACACAGCCGAATGCATTGTCATAATCAAGGAAGCACATACGAGTTGATTTATTTCTGTTGTCAAGTGAAGACAGTACAGAATGTACGAGGCAAGCCACTGCATCTCAGCTAGAGTAGACCTCGAACTTCGATAGATGAATTGAGGGGGGTCATTCGAGCGAGTTTGGAATAGCATATTTCAAGAATGATTTTCTCTAGAAGCTTCAAGTCAACAGAAGTGCTAGCGATAGGTTGATATTTGTTGAATCCTATTTTCGGCTCTGGTGTGATACTAACACTTCTCCAGCAGTCCGCGATTTTGTGTTGCTGCATACACACACTGTGTATACAGACGCAAGTGACGTTGCCAAAGTGTTATCCATTCTTTGGGTACGATGGGAAATAGTGTGTCCGGACCACGAGATTTACTGGAACGTAGACGGTTTAGTAACAGTTATGCTATCGACAGGAGGCAATTAGTCACAGACACCAGAACTTGGGAAGGGGAAGGCTCTGGGTCTAGGGTAGTATCGCAGTTACAGAACACTTTGTTCAGTTCGTCTACATTCGCCTTGAAACAGGATAATTCCGTTAAGCTGCTTCAGCATCCTGCAGAGTTCGCCACAGCTGCGATTCTCAAGAAGAGACTAGACATACACTTGGTTAAGATGGTGTAGCTCTTTCTTGATACGCAGAGAGATCGCACTGAGATACCGTCTTTTAGTTTAAACGCTCTGTCCTTGAGTCGGCGCAGCTGCTTCTGGTGGGGCGAGAAGAACCTGTCCGCGCGGACTTAGAGTTTCCCAAGGACAATAGAGGTCGAAAGCGAAATTTAGATAGCTAGTCAGAATACTTCGATACGTAAGGGTCACAGAATAAAATAAAGTATGTGGATGTAACCGTTCTAGGGAGTCAATTGATATTTTGTGAAGAGCACTACAAGCGCCTGAAGCTTCGATCACTGCAGCGAGTGATATCTTTGTGGTTTATCTTCCTATAGATAAGAGAAATCTTGATTTGAATTATGGTAACTGCCGATCGGAGTGAACCACTTCATATTAATAACGAACATCAGGTCCAGTGTTGCGTCTAATCTGGTTGTTAAATTTACGATGTTCGATAACCCGAGAGGAGTGCGAAAAGTGGTATCAGATCTGTTAAAATCTTCAGCGAAGCTACATAGAGATGGGTTGATTCGTTCTACGACGGCTGTTGTAAATTCCCTGAAAAATTGTGCCTCAAGTTTGGGACAGGTGGGAGAGATATAAATGTTAGCCAACAATATTGAGTGGTAGGCAGCTAAGTGCATTCAAAATGAGGTGGTTTGAATCTGCGGACTAAGTACCTTTGTGGGAGAAGAGGCAATGAAATAGGTGGGAAAAGCTACTTGGCAACGATGGAGTGCTTCCAATATGCGAACATGCCCCAAGGTTGGGATATTTACTGCATCTTTAACAGGTGCCCCATACGAATTCAGTCTGCGTGTCAGGTGCCTTTACTTTGGGTCGGTACCAGTCTGCAGTGTGCAAACCGCCAGTCGATTGATGTCCAGTCATCCGTACATGCGCGCACTGATCAGCCGGTGTAAAATGCCGACAGCGCCGCTACAGTTCCTCATTTGATGCAAGAACCATCATTTCGGTGTACTGCAGATATCCCCACAGTAAGTGACGTCTACTGTAACCGTTCAAGGTCAAACATTTGATCCTTGACAGTCTGCCGATAAGCAAACTGCTACGCTGTACCGTTTTGCTACGCCACCTCACGTCTTGCTGTTTCTGCACCTTTAATCGCTAACCTATTCAACTACGTAGAGACTGTACGAAGCCTAGAGCAAGTAGTCGCAGGAGATGGGACAAGAAAAATGTAGGCTAGTAAACCTATACTATACGCAGGGTCTGTTCTGAGAAATAAAAAAGTAGATTCCTGTTACCGTGCGTATAGTGCAGGTTTACTAGCCTACAGTTTCATTGTCCTATCTCGTGCGATTACCTAGTCGAGGCTTCGTAGAGTCTACACAAGGGTTATAAGAGCTACCCTCATTGGTTGAATTGAGCTAGCTCAATTCGAAGGTCACCGTGCGCATGATGTGTCGGAAAGACAGTGGATACAATTCAAACGCGTTAAGGACTTTGTTCAATTGGCTCACGGATGCAAGTCAAATCATTAAGGAGCAATTCATTTGTACTATGGCTGTAAGTAATAGGGTAAAGGTATAGATAATAAAATAGATGATTAATTGTGAGTTTGACGCGGCAGCTTCCAAATCAGGTATTCCTCCGCATGCCCAAAAAAGCACTACACTGCAGTTTCAACCTGTTGGGCCTCGCCAGTAGTGCGCATTCATCGGATCCTTCAGCATTCGAACGCATGACCACCAGCGATTTGAGCGCCAGCCAGCAGCTTAGGCCACTGAGCCATGGGGGACAGTAGCGGACAAACATGATTTACAAGCAAAGTTGCTGGATGACGGTTCAAGCCGGTTGAGGTCAAGGGTTCGAATCCTGATGCATGCGATAGATCTGCCCTACTGATGAGGTCCAACAGATTGAAACTGTAGGGTAGAGTTTTTGTGGGCAGGTGGTTGACTATGTTATTTGAAAGTTGCTGCGACAAACTCCCAACTAATTAGATCAAAAATCTTCTACTCGTGAGGGGACAGGACATGTTAACAGTAGCTTGAAAACCCAATAATCATCAGTCGGACGATGTAAAAATTTATCGACCAAAGCCGGTTAGCAAGAACAGCCGCGGACATAGAAAGCTAACAGAATTTCTATGCCTACTGCGCCTTCAAGTCTGGTTGTTGTGACCAAATCCCGGGGATTAGCAAAAAGGAGGCAATTTCACTGATGTTCGAGTGATATACAAAGAGGAGGAATAAATGGAGGTAAACTCACCAGAAGTAGTGTAACTGATTTTTGCCTCACCCACATCACAGCGCCAGAATCGAAGACAGCCATCGGAACACGCAGACATAATCAGATACGGAGGCGGAGCCCGGTGGTCAAACAAAGAGACCCAACTTACATCAGCAGCAGAAACCGCAGCCATAACGACATATACCTCTTTAGGCAGAGGCAAATCACAATCACATACCTAAACAGTAAAACATAAAAGAAAGCAAAAAAATAAGGTTAAAAGAGAGCGAAAAGTTGTCCTAGACTACAAGAAAACAGTAGGGTTCCGTTATAGCATAAAAAAGAAGTTCGAAACAGTGGACAAGAGAGCATATCAAGTTGTCCTGTAACCGAGAAGAATTTGAGCTTCTGGTATTTGAGGCCAAAGTGAGGTAATTCCACCAGTCACGATGAAAAATTTAATGTTACAAACTCTGATGGTATATGGGGCTGTAACCGAAAAACTCACCTTTTGAATACCGGAGATCATGTCATTAAATATGTGAAGATTATCAACACGCAGCCGGTCGGCATTGGGACAAACAGCGAAAGAAGGTTGTGTGCGCACATTTACCCTCCACATTTCAAGTGTTGGCTGGCAGAAGAAAAAAATGGAAGGTGAAGGTGAAAGCCTAGTTTGAACGCAGGCGGAAGGAAAACGCGAAAAATAACTGCCACATATATATATATATATGTATAAATATATATAAATATATATATGGAGGCTTTCTTTATGAAATACAAAAGTGAAACCACGGTGAGGACATACAACAGACAACGTGAAACAGCCCATGAGTGATCCTTGTGGAAACGCAAAGAGTACTGCTGCAGCGACCTGATTACTCAACAAGATAAGAGCGTGAGGCATCCACTAGTGACTAAACCGAAGAAAGCTGAGGATCGAATTTTAAATGAGTCAAAAGAGCTAGTGACGTGCAGTCAGCTACGGCATTACTGCTTAGGCGCGAGAAACTACAAGATGTGGGCCTCGGTTCAGGTAAAAAAAAGTCGCAGTCCAATAGTGGTAAAGGATTTTCAGTACCAAAAGAGCAATTTGATAAAGGATACTGTGGTGTGGCCCTTGATGCAGCTGTCCGTATTACTGAAAAGTTTCAGTACCTGATCGATGTATTATCGTCACTGTTCTTACGCTAAATTCGATAAAACTAAAAATAATCGACCCAGTCATAGTTAGCAACATGATAGAGACATTGAAACAAGTTACACTGGACTAGTACACATACCATTCTGCGGTAGGTTATTTGGTCAGCGGAGCTCGAATCGGTTTTTCGCTGGGTAAGTCGGACAACCATGAAAGTGGAAAGCGAGTCGTTTTCAAGGCCACGTTCGAAGGTTGCCTCGAGTGGCTTATATTTGGAGGTATGTACTAACTGAATGGGGAACACGTGAAGCAACAGTGTTTCGGATATGGTCGACTGTAAAGGAGAAAAAAGCGAGATGAAGGAATTATTTCCATCACAGGACATTGTCGTAAAGTATTGAGAGGTGAGAACTTACGCTTTGAGGCTCGTAAAGCCGTCGTGAGGAATCCGGTAGTGTGTTGGGTAACTGAATCACGCAACCGGAGGTGTCTGAGTTGGTAAAGCCGAAAAACCGAGGGGCCGAAGAGTCCGATGGCGGCGTAGAAGCTCGATTGGCCGAAACGAATCGCGTATCTTTAGCATCGAGAAACGCGAGGAAGAAACCCAATTGATCCGTAGATGACTGCCCTTCATACAAGTTGCCCAGAAACAGTACCATCGGATAAACTGTTAGAGACGTAGTTAGTGTGCACGGAAACCAGGCAAGATCACTGAACCACGTGTGTGAAGGATCTGAATGCGAAACTGTAATGCGGGCGACTTCAACAAGACCACTGTCGGAAAATGTGACACCAGCGCTGTCTCTATAAAACGGAAAACCATCCAAATGGGCTTTCTCGGCCCCAGCGGAGTGCTGACACTGACTAATGTCACGTCCAGGTAAGATGCTTGTACTGGTTAACGGACCAATAGGTCCAGCACGCCACAAGATCAATTCGCTGTGACTGTTTTGCGCATCCTCTATTGCAGAACCGAAGTACAGAGAAGTGTGAGAGAAATGTGAGGTGGTAAGCAGTAACGGCACTAGTGGATGTGGGAGGATAGCTTCGGTATGAAAGCGATGACCGCTCAGCCGGGCGCTTCCGTTGATGCTCAAGATCCATTGAAAACTGCGTATCAGAAGGTAGAGAACAATAATGCAAACGAAGAGAGAAATTATGAAGTGAGAGTGCGAAAATACCGATATTCTACTCGAAATGACGCACAACGTTGAGGAGAGAAGAATTCGTAAAATGTAACTGAGAATAGATCAAATTTCTGAAACACAACATAGCGCTGTCGAAAACGATCCCGTAGGTGTCAAATCAACTTATCAAGTCTGAGTCACAGAAGAAATAAAAAACAAAGATTCACTTGGTGTACTGGTAGCCCGGGTTGATCGTTCTTGGGTTCAATTGTTCGCCGAGCTTCGTAAATAAACAGAACGTTGAAATGACTCCAGAAACGGAATCAAATCACAAAGGAAGATGGTGCCCGAATGATGACCCGCGATCCGAACACAGCGCAATTCTACGGGCTTCCAAAAATACATAAAGACGGTGCACCACTAAGACCGATGGTATCGCTCCCAGGTACACCTACGTACAACCTGGCAAGAGAGTTGTGGAGACGTCTCAAACACCTAATAATTGGATCACAGCACGCTATACATAGCGCCCAACAATTTCTGGAGAGGATCAAAGGTATAAGAGTAACTCATGACGAGATAATGGTATCGTTCGACGTGACCGCACACTTTAAGTCGTTCAACTTACAGACCGCAAAGCAAGCAATCATCGAACGGCTGGACCAAAGTAAGAAAACCATCGGAAAGCCAACGACTGAAAATCTGTGAAAGCTAATTGATCTATGCCTTCGACCCACTTCGCCTTTGATGAACAGATCTATGAGCAGGTGAAAAGAGCCCCAATGGGATCCCCTGTGTCACGACTTGTTGCAGAAATAGTAGTGCAGAAACTTGAAGAGGATGTGCTGCCGATAAGCAAGCCAAAGTTGCGGATCCGATAGGTCGATGATACATTCGTGATACTAAAACGTAGTCAAGTAGCGGCTGCATACGAGTTACTCAATAACACCATGGAAGACATCCATCTTACGATGAAATCGGAGATAAAAGACCAACCAAACACTGTTTTTTTGGCGCAAAGTGTATGTTCCCACGGGTTGCAGCCCGGACTCAGCTAAAGATGAGTTCTACCGTCAACTCTTCGACCTACTCCATAAGAAGCATCGCAAGGATATCGTGGTTCTCATCGGGGACTTGAGCGCACCGGTTGGTAGGCTTGAACAAAACATTGCTAGTCTGGATTGCTATGGTATTCGCATGACGGATTAAGAAAGAAAAAGAAAGGCATCAGCAGTACGCCGGTACGCAGTACCGACGCTTCGCTGCCGCACAACCACCACCGGTCGCACGTGGGCTAAGGATACTGCGAGGGTCGCCCGGTCCCTACGCATGCTCGAACCGGCGTCGTCAGATTACGAGACTAGCTCGTTGCCTTTAGGCTACGAGATTGAGGAGATTGACCGCCACAGATCTGTGCTGATTACAGACTGGTCACATCGTCATCGATTACCGCTGACGAGGCTGTTGAAAGGACAGCAGATCAAGTTAAAGTGCTTCGCTTAATTCTACTCACGCGCTTGTGTGTGTGCTAGAATCGTCCTGCATTTTGTTGGCACCTAGCAGCATTGTCGGACACAGCTAGAAGTAGGCAAAGTTGTTGTTTCAAATAAGCTGGGTGCCTTTCGGAATTCGTCACCTATTCTGAGCAGCTCTCAACCCACAGCTGTTGAGGCACATTGTACACATATCCGGAATGCCGTGCACAAATCTGCTAATGTCATCTGTGTGTTCACTAGGCACATCATTAACCGACAGATTTCCGCTCAGTGTCCAACTTATGGAAGATCACCGTACGATTACCGTAACTACGCTGAGCTCTGAACACCAATCTGAAACAGTTCACCATGGAAGATCGCGAAGCCTGGTGGCAGTGACAGCAGTGACCGTGCATTTTGCAACGCACCGCCTGTGTTTCATGAGGCATCCAGAGTTACTGATTTCCTTCCGGCATTCGCGCGGAAGCATCCGCGCTACCAGTTACTCGACTATTGTTGCTACCGTACTGCACTTATCTCCGAACCCGTGTCATCGTGACCGATTTACAGGGTTCTGCCCCTCCCTCACCCAGAAGGGAGTATAAACAGGTCAGTTGCGGGTGACTTGTCCGCTAGGAGGAGTGCGATGTGAGGTCACATTTTAATCCGACTACAGAATTCGCGCTCGTTGATGAAATTGTTAGTGTGAGACGCCTCGTGACAGTGTCAATGCGAACAGATTTTGCAGCATGTTGTGACGAATTACAGTCGCGCTTTCATCTATCAACTATCAAAATATTTCTTTCTCAGTAAACTACTTGTTTGTAAATGAACGTGTTGTTACTTCCGCATCATGTGCGGTCATTGTACACTTATGACACACTGGAAGGTAAGTGCGCCATACCGTGTAGCATAGCTGTTTGCGTTTCTGCTTATGGAAACTGCCCTGTGAGAATTTGAGAACTCGTGGTGCATAGGAAGAAGGTTCTAGAGTTAGCAATGATGAAAATCATTTATCCGATTTGTTTGTGTTTGAAGAGAAGACGGGCAATAGATTTGGATGCGGGCAGATCAGCGAAGAACACAGAAACATGCGAACATGACCGCGGTGAATAGCATGTGTTGGCCAGTTGCTTCGCGAGTCATAGCAGTAGGAGCGACTGGACGCTACTGAAAAGGGCGTTCGATGCGGAGCACAGAATCAATGAGGACAGAAAGAATAAAGTTGACCATGATCGGCAGGGAACAAGTTTGATGTAATGTGAGCGAAGATATCGTGCCCACAACCAATGAATCAGCCTGCCATAGGTCGGGTCCTGAGTGCTCCCTTCCGTGGTTTTACGGTTTCTTTAGAGTACGTGAACTGAGCGCACCTGACATGGACTGAGTTTCGCCCAGGTCGAGGTTGTATTGACCACATGTCCATGGTTCATCCGAATCTGGAGTACTTTCGAGCGTTGGTTGGGATCGACGGAAAGGTGGCCAACGCACAGCCTACGTCAGAAGTCTCAAAGTGCTGACATTACAACTGATCGCAGTGGAGGTTCACCAACCCGAAGTTAGGGTCCCAAGGGCACCGAACACACCTGGTTTGGAACGCATGTGAATTGGCCCAGAGCCATAACGATGGCGAACATATCGCTACACTCCACCCCACTAAAGGTCTTTTTTGCTACTTTCTTGTGTTTTACTTGTGTGTTGTGGCATTCTACCAATGGCACATCGGTCGCAAAACAAGAGACAGCTTCCGATGGGCGCGACACCGTTAATATCAAGCAGCTGACGCAACCACTGAGCATACCTAATCTTGTTGTAGCTGTCTCTTAAAAATGAGAAAGTTATCAAACAGTTATTCGTCATGGCGCCGACTAAGCGTACATTCTGACCCCTACTATTCATCATGGTACATTGCGCCCGAGTAACACGAAGTGAGTGGCTCCTGGTGCGCCCGCAGAAAAAGATTGAAATTGGTTGCGTCTATCCACACTGGTAGTCTTCCTTCTGCCTCCAAATTATCAGCTGCATCACGAATGATTCCCATTCACTCTTGTTCTTTAACGTGTTCAGACTCCGAAATAACGTGCAACTTCTTCATGATTATTAACCGGCCGCCTAAGTACCCGGCGACCGTGCTGGTGCATGCCTCAATTTCAAACGTTGCTTGCAAACGTAATCGAAAAGCTTTAAGGGTTACTGTTGCCTCCGCAGACACCCACTCAATCAGAGCGTCGACACGACTTTTTGCCAATGCGCTGCGGCAAATTCCTCCATGCTGTCCCCTACGTTAGGTTGACTCACCCAAATGAATCCAGTTGCGGCAGGGTTTCACGTTTACGTTAACCACACTAGCAACCTACTTCCAATCCTCTCCCTCCTCATACCTTTTCATTATTCTGCTCTTCACTTACATGGTATGGTGAGCATACGGTCCTCTTCGTTTCACCCTATTCGGTGAACGGCACATTCACAGTGTTACTGAGAATTTATTTCCCTACGCCTCAATTTCCTACCACCCCCCAAATTGCCTGTGTATATGACTCGGCCGCGAAACTGGCTGTCTTATTGACCCAAATCTGGTCAACTGTCTGCGGTCAGACATACGCCTGTCTGCGTTGTCTATTCGTCATCACAGCAAGACCCCGTGTGCAGGTGTTCCCTCCTTGGGGCCACGGTGACTTGTGATACATAAGGGTAATGGATCGTAGAGTTTACGAACCACATAGGCTTTGGAGCCAGGTGTTAAATCCGTGGGCGTGTGCATACCACTCTTGCCTCCAGGGACAAGGAACACAGGAATCCAACTGATGGTATTTCGTTACCAGTTGCAGCACACCGGTTAGATTCGTAATCTTGGTTTCATCAGTGGTGTTAATCAAACCTGTAAGTTCGATGGAAGCGGAAAATGTAACGCAACCTCCAGATCGAATGCGGTTGATAACGACCCCACCACACAAACCCAGAGAGAGAGAGCCCAGGTTTCGGTTAAGGTTGCCACCAACATCGAAACACACCATAGCATTATGGTGCTAGGTGAATACAACGTCGCAAGTATAGTGTATGCGCTTAGGCGACGCGCTTTACTCCTCAGTTGCGTTTGCACGTTTGATAACTGGCAGGCCGGTCTTTCCGTCATTCTATCAGTAACCGAAAGCACGATAAGAAGTAGCTGTTTGGTTGCAACTCATTTCCAGTTGACCAAGAGAGGAGTCTGACACTAACAATTTCATCAACGAGCGCGAATTCTGTAGTCGGATTAAAATGTGACCTCACATCGCACTCCTCCTAGCGGACAAGTCACCCGCAACTGACCTGTTTATACTCCCTTCTGGGTGAGGGAGGGGCAGAACCCTGTAAATCGGTCACGATGACACGGGTTCGGAGATAAGTGCAGTACGGTAGCAACAATAGTCGAGTAACTGGTAGCGCGGATGCTTCCGCGCGAATGCCGGAAGGAAATCAGTAACTCTGGATGCCTCATGAAACACAGGCGGTGCGTTGCAAAATGCACGGTCACTGCTGTCACTGCCACCAGGCTTCGCGATCTTCCATGGTGAACTGTTTCAGATTGGTGTTCAGAGCTCAGCGTAGTTACGGTAATCGTACGGCGATCTTCCATAAGTTGGACACTGAGCGGAAATCTGTCGGTTAATGATGTGCCTAGTGAACACACAGATGACATTAGCAGATTTGTGCACGGCATTCCGGATATGTGTACAATGTGCCTCAACAGCTGTGGGTTGAGAGCTGCTCAGAATAGGTGACGAATTCCGAAAGGCACCCAGCTTATTTGAAACAACAACTTTGCCTACTTCTAGCTGTGTCCGACAATGCTGCTAGGTGCCAACAAAATGCAGGACGATTCTAGCACACACACAAGCGCGTGAGTAGAATTAAGCGAAGCACTTTAACTTGATCTGCTGTCCTTTCAACAGCCTCGTCAGCGGTAATCGATGACGATGTGACCAGTCTGTAATCAGCACAGATCTGTGGCGGTCAATCTCCTCAATCTCGTAGCCTAAAGGCAACGAGCTAGTCTCGTAATCTGACGACGCCGGTTCGAGCATGCGTAGGGACCGGGCGACCCTCGCAGTATCCTTAGCCCACGTGCGACCGGTGGTGGTTGTGCGGCAGCGAAGCGTCGGTACTGCGTACCGGCGTACTGCTGATGCCTTTCTTTTTCTTTCTTAATCCGTCATGCGAATACCATAGCAATCCAGACTAGCAATGTTTTGTTCAAGCCTACCAACCGGTGCGCTCAGGTCCCCGATGAGAACCACGATATCCTTGCGATGCTTCTTATGGAGTAGGTCGAAGAGTTGACGGTAGAACTCATCTTTAGCTGAGTCCGGGCTGCAACCCGTGGGAACATACACTGTTGCGCCAAACAAACAGTGTTTGGTTGCCTCGCGGCTGCACAATCGTATGGAGACTTTAAGCCGAATCGCAAAAGGTTAGTTATTAATTGGAATCCAAAGAAGTAGCGCTGCTTCCGCGCGCGCAGTAAACCCAGTTCATACATCAACCTGGTCTGCGCCTTCTTCAGCTATGTCTCCCGATAAGTTTGGAAGCATGTGTCCTGCAAACGATCCGAGGATTACATTAATTAATGTCCAAGTGTGTTTTGCGCACATAGAGTTCTCCAGGTACCCAGGTAGGGGAAGGGGGTTAATTTATGTAACCATAGCCAGCGCCTTAGTTCTTAAAGCCCTTAATCTCAAAGCAGTGAGGCGATTAAGGTATATCGCGAACCGTCGAGAGTCGATACCACGACTTTCGAGTGGCAACAAACTACTCATGGTGCCGGAACAGTACGAGTACAGCAGTAAAGGGACCATGAGTCGTTTCCTGAAACATCCGAGGCGTTGCTGAATGCAAACACAGTCGACACTCAGGTGGCTCAAACACCATTTTAGTGTTCGATGGTAGTCCACACAGAAACGAGTAGTAATCGAGGTTGTTCATCCGCCCTCTGTTAGGTACTTCATTCCGGTTAAAAAGTGGGTGGTCACTGCTCCTATAGCCGGAAACAATGGCTTTGTGGTATTTACCGCGTACTCAGATGGCTAGACTCGAACTGCTGACGCTCTGAGATGCTGCGCTGATTGTTCGCGGCTGCCTATTAAACACACCTGCGGAATAAACGAGACTCATTCACACTTACCCTCAGTAGGAAGGCATTCCTCGATTCTCAACCTGCGGGAGCACGAGACGGTATAAAACAAGCCAGTAGGCCGCTCTCTGTGTAGACATCCCATTCTCGGCCTCGTCTTGCACCACTGCTGCTCTACCCGTATCACATCATGGTATCACCGCAGTATTAGTATACGCCTGTGGTATTACCATCATCTTTGGATTCTGTGGTCTACACCCTACCAACCTTACGGGACTCATTGAGCATTCACTTTATTGCCCCCTACTAAACAGTACTCAGTGTAACTTTTGCACGTTGCTTTGAAGCGCATTACAGGCTAGCCGTGGAACAAGCACGAAGCTAACTCATATATCAGCTGTGTTATAATCTTATTGTCTACGTTGATACGTCACCCATCTCAATCGCATACCGCCAGGAAGCTTTCTGCGCTGCGATTATCGCACCAGTGAAGGTGTTTATGTCTACCGGTGCACATGCGATTTAGCGGTTTTACCAAAGTAACCTGTGGCCCCCGCGTTTAAATGCGACACTCGTATTGTGCCTATTGCCCCGTGCACATCATGTGTCCACAGCACATGATACATCGTACGGACAAGTGCCTGGGGTTTAGCTTAAGAACGTGGACTGTCGACCGTGTCAGAATGCGAGTAGCCAGTGGCCCTCTTCGACAAAAGGCTCTGTTATAATGGTGCTGTGAATCGCGCCCAAATTTCTTATCATACACTGACCCCATTTCATCTTAGCCTGCCGTGGGTGACCTCAGATATCCACGAGTTACTACCCCCGTCATGTAATCCGTCACCGCCCATGTGACGAGTCGCACACGAGCAACTCCGGGCTGTAGTGATTCCTCTACAACCCCGTGCCCTACACCTGCGTACATGTTGCTGTGTCTACTATGCATCCGATATGCTATTGGCTGACAGCGCTTGCCTAAGGAAACAGCCGCACAACGGTGCGCGCTTTTCACAATCGCCTGGCACAACTTGGTTCATCGGAAGGCGCAACCTGTTAAAATAAGTGATGAACCTGATATCTGGTTAGATCAAGTTGCTAAGTGTATGGCGTAACCTGGATCGGAAATGGGATAGTTGATGAACAGTGTGCTCCCCCGGGAGATTCACTCCTGACTGATATTCGCCTGTACGTACCACCAAATCTCTTGCACTGATGACGCCACTTCGGCTGGTGAAGAAATCTATGCAATTAATTTGCAGAGTCCGAGTAGGAACTCAACAGCTAATTAGCATAACCTGAAAGTAGTCCATAGTTTTGAACGTACTTCGAACGATGGCGTCAGATGGAGCCTCTCAATTAACCGATTTTAGTTTGTTTTGCGTCACCTGAGTTCCAAGGATGGGAGATAACTCGATTGTTCACTAAATTGCCCCGACCTACGAATCGCCGTAACTGTGAACTAGAGAGAGCACCAGTGCAGTACCAGGTTACTTCACTGAAGCATAGACTGCTGGGACAGTGGTGCAGATCAGCTGGAGGAGCATGCGGTAGTTGGTCGCCGCTACTAGCACCAACGATTAAAGCCGGTGGGTCAACTAAGTTGTATGCTCAGCTCGCAGTCTACTTTGCGGATCGAGTCCAGCAGTCCGTCTGGTCTCATGATGCTTGGTGTCTTCAGGTATTCCTTATTTGGATGGTAACAAGTTCTGTGTCGCAAAGTGAGGATCCTGTGCTATGCACGGTAGAGGTGCTGTTCTGCAGTAACCCTAAGCAGTAAGGGGGATCTGGTATACGTCTGGTTAGAGAGGAGCCAGGCATGCATACCAGATGAGTGTCAGCAGTACAGCATTACGATGCATCGATGTTTCGTTGCTATATGACCGCGAATGGTTGCACACGGGTTGGAATGTTGCGAAAGAGCTCACATCGATGCAGCAGCGGAGAAGAGAAAACGGAATGCAGAGCTTACAAATCGAACATCTAAACCATTACAACACCAAGTTACGTCACTTCTCTATACGAAATGAGGATAAAGCTTTCTGCTGTGATTTGGAACGCGGGCGTGCTACATAGATATGCTAAACTAATATTTGCGTACACTAAGTGTCGGGGATTGGTATACGAGCACGACTGCTTCCTGTGTAAATTTGTTCACTGTCAGAAGCTCAAAGGACACTAAACGGATGCCAGTGAATGTGCAATCTCTAAACTTGAAATGCAAGAACACAATCATCAGAAGGAGGAAGTTTGCTTTCTCGAAATTGTTCACACTAGCTAGGCTACAGGCTCTCGTGCACCCTGAAGACGGGCAAATGGAAGTGGTTTCAAAATTATGTGGTGGTCAGTGATAAAACAAAATAATAAAAGGGGCAAATACATACGTGCGATACACATAAGAGCGCGACGATGAGCTTGGCATCGGTTGAGGAAAACATGAAAAATTCATTTTATTAAGTAGAGGTTCAGAAATGAAAAGTGAAAATTGTGACGAATTGAGGTTATGTATGGGAAAACGGCCGCCAACAATCCTCTCAAAAAAACCAGACCCGAATAAAAGATAATAGCATATACGTACCGATTTGATTCGGACAAATCAAGACGCCAGTAACGAAGAGATCCATTTACATGCCGCGTCACCATGGCAACATATTGTGAGCGGTGAATTTCCGTACCAAATGTGGAACATAGTAACTGTATCTGTTAGGTAGGAGTGGAAAAAAAGAATTAGACGAAACACGCGAGAATACTTCCACGATGGTTCGAAGGCGATAAGTGCTCATTAACATCGACAATATTGAGCAGTGTGCAGCTACAATTCACTGAAAGGTACTGAAAGGTATCATTCAGGGAGGCAACCTGGAATACTTATTCGCAGACGATCAAATACTGAAACAAAGGGAGCATATGTGAGATGACGGGATACACAATGCTTATGAAACGGCTGAACGTCGGATACCACAACCCGAGTGCCTGTATACTAGGGGAAGAAAATATACCATCAAAGACCGCTGTGTGCTAAAAGATGAGGAGAGACGGATCGTGAAATGTGAAAAACAGGCAGTTAATTTCAAAACAGTGCATTGAATTTTGGCTTGTGATAAGTGATGAGAACTGGCGATGAGCGGCCAACTCATGTGACACCACAAGCGTTTGGAGCCGGATACGCGCACATCTAACCACTGGCTTACTGAGACAGAAACAATGTGGGTGGTGAAAAAGGTTTCCATTCAACTATGGATAGATAGCAGGGATCGACATCGTGAACCAGTTGATGAGAGAATCGCCAATCAGTCCAGGTAAGAAGGGTGTATACTGTACAGAGTCAGTAGCACAAACAATCCAAGCTGGCTCCCCATAGCTGTAACGCTTAGGTGAATGCCAAGTGAACGGTTTGTACGTCAACTATGTTACCAAGCGTATCAGATTTCTTTGTTTGGACATATTTCACCACAAAAAATAAAAAAAAAAGGAACGAAAATCGACATGCTTCACGCAGTACACGATATAAAGACAAAATCGCCACGCAGCGACAAGGTAGCGAATGCTACAGCGCCGAAAACAGTAAATGTGTCAAATCGGGTGTTGTCCATAAACACTAAGGCGGTCTAACCCGAATTTCCAATGAAATAAAATTACACACCCAATCGACTCCGATTTCCGGTCAATTTCTTAGTGCGCTTTTTCTTTGTTAGCGAATTGTAAGCCTGGAAATCCCCCAAAAGGGATGTAAATAGTAACAAAGTAACAAATGTGAAGTAATTATGACCTACGTAGTTCAAATCAAAAAGTTGGTAGGAACGTGCATTGCCACATAATAAACATCATTGTAACGCAGCACCCACGTTCTCCAGAGAGAGAAGATGAGGGAAGAGACACAGTGTTGCGCAGACATTGGCGCTTAAAAATGTTCGCAGAACGCACCGATCGAGTACTCCGCTACCAGGAACCACACACCTTTCCACTGACCAATGAGATCAAAACTAAAGGCCATCATAAACACGAAATTAGCCAACGCGCCAATGAACTGCTACGATCGTTTGATCATCAGGAGCGATATGGCTACAAAGAGGATAATCGAACAACCCACTAGGGGGCGTCATTCGGTGGTAATAAAAATGGCGTGTCGGACCAATGCTGTAACAATATCCCATACAGTTCAAGTGTTAAATATACCGGGGATTTTGTTAATGTGGTCCGGAGCTAGGAGCGGCTGCACTCAGGTGCTGACGTACAACCGGTACGCTGAATTGCTAACTGTCCAATGGCATAAATTGCTTTGCCGGCAGGAGTGAGATGGGACACAGACGCCACATGTGTGCCTACGATCGCAGAGCACACACTGTGAGAAGTGAACGTTAGCCAGACACCACAGCCGCACTGAATGCGTCATACCTCGACCGTATAGTCAAACCTAAGGAACGCACGCCGTTCAGCTGTGAGAACAGGACGTGAGCTGGACACCACGTAGCTGCACTGAACTTGTCATACTTCGGTAGTCGGCCATCATGCAGGTGAAAAGCCAGCAAAAGAGTTTCCTGCGAAGTGTGTCGCTGTGCTAGCAACTGAGAAAATCAGCCTGGCCATATGTGATGACCGATCGATGGGCGCCGTATTGCTATCACCACAAAACCTGTTATCGCCTCATGACTGGCTTCCAACAAACCCATAAGCTGTAATTAGGCTGTTTTCACTGCTAAAGGGAATCATACCGCCAGAAGCACATTGTAAGGTTACAGTGCTGTTCACTTTACCGTTTCGATCGCATGTGTGTTACAGCTGAAAATTCACCCTTCATGAGGTTCATCGAATTCTTGACAACGCTCTTAGATTTCAGTCTGCCACGACGCAATGGTGGCACCATTAAGCCTCATACCAATATAGCCATGAATATAACTATTGCCCTCATAGTCAGACACAATTGCTAGTTGTACAAATTGATCAGGCCTTCGATGGTATTTCCCATGTACAATCGAGAACATACATTTATTCACAAATTCAGTTATCTTTATTTTTAACATTCCCGTCCGTTTCTCAGAATACGAAACTCTTATAAAGAAGTCTTGTCCAACTGCCGCATACACCACCCAGGTTGGAGTTGGCATAGCCGCCGCAGGGTAACAAGAAAAATGAAGATCCCAGGCAAACAGGGAGTTTAAGGTAACAACATTTCCGCGGCATAATCTCATAGGTGTGACCGTTGTTGTCAAACATCCTTCGCTAAGGAGGAATTGCTCGACACAGTGAATTACTCCAATAAGACTGTCTGTAATAAGTTGTGATGTGTCTCTTATTAGCCCGTTACAGTCTATCTCGACCATCTGACGCATGAGTTCGTTCGCATGCGCGAACAAATGCGTGCTATGGAGTTGCGGGTAGGCTCCTGGATCGCCGTTTGGTCAGTGGCAGGACAGCTGCCATCAGTCCTGTGCCTCTGCCAATGGACTCAGTCGATGAGCTCCTTACGCCGAACATGCGGCTGGAGAAACGCGAAGACATGGAGAATTTAGTAGGGACAGGATTTATGTATGCTGTTTCAGACGGCCTATTTCGGGCAACTGGGCGGAAATACTTTGACGGAATTCGTCAGGAACTTATTGTTAGCAGTCATGACGAACGCCTTTGCAAGGAAAGTGAATTGGCGAGGAGTTCACGCAAGCACCGAAATTCAAGCACGCCCTTGACCCGTGTTATTATCCGTAAGGTGTTATGCAGCATAAAACATCAGTTTCAGACGCTGTAATGCGGTAAAGTTGCGCCGAATGCACTGAAAGTATCATTGCCGACAAGATTCGCCGTTGAATACACCGAATACAATAGCGAGAGGATTACAAACCTAACTCGCAAGTCACACCCGGGCCTAGTACAAAAAAGCTGTAGTAAGGCATTTTATTACAATTTCTTTAACCTTCCGGCTATGATGGTTTTCCTTGACTTCAAAGCCGCCTTCGACTCTGTTGATCAAGACAGTTTGTGGCACTGTCCATCCATGAAAGACGTGCTGGCTAAACTCCTTTCCATTATGCAGTCTCTCTATCGTGACTCCTGAGGCAGGGTACAAATCTAAGGGAAGCTGTCTCCTGACTTCCCCACGATAAGTGGGGTTTGCCGGGGTTGTCCCATATCTCTTTTCTTCTTCAACTTTGTTATGTACATGATATGAATGACCGTTCTTTCAGACTCTAGCGGAGTGAAAGTTCTGCCAGGCGACCGATAGACAAACCTGGAGTATGCGGACAACATAGTTCTCCTTGGGTCTGACGCAGTGGCTATGCAAACACTACTGCATACACTGACTCGTAGCGCTGCACGCTTCGGCATGTATTTGGCACCCACAAAGTACAAAGCACTGCTACAGCATTGGACCGACACACCTCCGGTTCTAGCTATCAGCGAACAGCCAGTGGGAATGGTGAATCGGTTCACTTACCTTGGTACCTGTGTCATATCAGGTGGTCGCATCACTTCGCGTATCAGCAGGGCCCGTGTGGCTCCCCAGAGGCTCAGCCATCTATGTAGACGACGGGATATCAGTATGTCAGTGAAAAGTAGGGTGTATAACGCTGTGGTAAGGCCAGTGTTACTGGATGGATTAGAGACCTGGCCAGTTGGCGGGCAGACACTAAACGCTGGGCCGCGTTTGACCACCGGTGCTTGCGGAGAACCGCTCACGTCTAGTGGGAACACTGGGTGAGTAATGCCGAGGTCCGCCAGTTGGTTTTTGGCAACATACCTTCTGGTGAGACATTCGAGTGTTCCTAAATCTTAGACATTTAGGATGGCTAGACCATGTCCGCCGTGTGCCTGTTGACCGGCTTCATTGGCGTGCATTACACGACGCGAAATCACTAAGTTGGATGAAAACTAGAGGTGGCCAGTCCATGACGTGGCATCGAGACATGAAGAAATTGCCTGCGAGACTTGGTCAGGCTAGTGCGTACCGCCTTCGTGAAAAGGGGGGCTCGGGACGGTCCACACCAATGGTTGAAGGCAGAGTCAGACATGGCGCAGGCACAAAGTTAGTGGCGTTCCCGCATTCGGTTTCTTGCATCCGGTTGGTAATTTTTGTTCCATTCTGCATTGACCACATCTGCACTTTGTGTCCGTTGTTGGAGCACTGTCACATATATTGACGGCCACCGCTGTCGTGTTCCTCGATATCAAAGGTACATTCGATTGGGTGGATAGATGTTCCCTTTGGTACTGTCTAGTCACGAAAGGTGTGCCCGAAAAATATGTACATATTTCTCCGCGCATTATACGCGCGTAGCTCGGGCAGAATGAGGGCTTATGGCCAGCTGTCGCAGCCTTTCAGTATCTTTAACGATGTGAAACAAGGATGCTCGCCGTCACCTTTCCTCTTCAACTTCGCTATTGACGAAGTCATGTAAATCGCGTTCACAAGACACGACTTAGAAGGTGTGGATCTGCTCCCAGGAGAACGACTTCTTGACTTGGAGTATGCTGACGATATTGCCTTCATCTGTGAGAGCTCACAAACGTGCCAAACGGCTCTGGACAGATTAGCACTGGCTGTCAGTCACTTCGGTAGAGTGTACAATGCATGGGTACGTTCGACCCTACTGTACGGATGCGAAACCTGGCTCCTTAGATCCACTGACATAAAGAGGCTAGTTACGTTCGACCATCGGTGCCTTCGCAGTTTGTCTCACATCTGGTGGGAACATCGAGTAAGCAACGAGCGTGGTCGACGCCTTGTTTACGGCACAGGAAAAGGAACTGAACCACTCAGCACCGTTGTTTCACGCACCAGGCTCCGATGGCTCGGTCACGTGGTATGCATGCCAGCCCACCAGCTCCCGTGACGTGCGTTATTTGCGCGCCGGGGGGTGTGGATGGAAGAAAAGGAGGGGTGGCCAAGCGATGACTTGGTCCAGAGGAATGAAGTCCCTCACTTCGAAGCTGGCCTCGGTTGGAGCGTCTCGGCTCCCTGGTTGGGGTCGGAAAGACGACGAACACGTTTGGCTGGATACACTTGCTGACATGGCTAGGAGCCGACCTCAATGGGGTTCGTGCTGTGAGTTTCTTTGTCCCACTCCATCCATCTTAGCCTCCTCCTCAAATCACGATCTCACAACTTAGCCTTATATAATTATACATAGTAAAATTTTTTGCTGCATTTTAGCCGGCTGGTAGCTTACCGGAACGAAGCTCACCCGTTACCGGTAGCTCAGCTGGCATGCATCTGTTGCATTGTTTCCTTTTGCTTTCTTTTATGTATTGCGGCACAGTAGCTAACGTGTATAATGATGATGATGTTCCATTCTGATTACTTCAACGCATTTCCATTTTGTGTCCATTTCCGTTGTATTCTATTTGTATTCAACTCCACTATTTTGACATAGTTATTCGTGGTTATTCATGCGATATGAGTTGTGGCAAATGGACGAATCACACTTTGGTGATCGGATCATAGTTGTTCAACTTAAACGAACCGCATGACGTGCACGGAACCAGTCTTGGCATACAAGTCACAATAGAAAGAGATTTCTCCAGTGTGCTTTTGAAAGTTAGGTATCATCACAAGCAGGCGGAATTATCTAAATAAAAGGCAGCTGTTAATTAAAAGAATGTTACAAGCATGAGGGTCTACATAAGATAAGGTAGTACACCGACAAAATCGAGATTTGGTACCACATCTGAGAAATGCGATAAAATTATGATTCCAACATCGAAGTGGCATAAATCCAGTGACCCTGGTTCGGCCTCCAAGATGGAATAAATTAACAGCGCAATAGAGAAAACGAGAGAAGCATGTGAACAGAAAATGGTCGAATACTATTTCTCAGATGAAATGAGAGAGTCCCGGTGATCGCGTCATGGTGGATTGTCCAACCATTGGCGTTTGACATCGCTTAGATTCCCGTAAAAAAGGAGGAATCAACAGGTTTCTTCATGCTTCATTGTCAGACGAATGACAGAGCAACAAGCACGCGAAAGTCGGGTAACTAAATTGGGCAACCTGGAACTAAGCGAACATTTGGCAATATGAAAGGTTCGATTTGACAGAGATACGAGTGAGTTTCCGGACGGCTTATTGCCAAACGCCAACTGATGGATATCAGTAGTAGCGCACCACGGTGGCACCCATACGTACCAAGAATGCTTCGTGTGCACCGGTGGTCAAAAGAGCAGTTCACTGATGGTTCCAAAGCCAATGGTGACAGGTGCAGCGTAGATGCAAATCTCACACGAATCTATTCCAATGATGGATATGCACAATAAATCAGTTCACCTTGGAAATTAAAAAGAGGAGCGCGATTTGCATTATCGAAAGTGAGTAGGAACGTTTTTTTAAAGCTGCGAACACTTCCAGTCATTGAAAAATAATAATGAGAATACGAAGAGGAATAAGCCAAGTGAAGAGTTTTCCAAGCACCTCACCTCGGTAATGTCACGCATAATGGCTAGTTTACAACTGTGCTGTTCGTTATCCGTGATGCCCCCGGGAAGCCCAGTGTGCACTGTTCCACTGTGAGATGCCAGAGCTTCTAACGCATTGTACAACACAAGTAGGCGACAGAAAAGAACACCAATATCGCTGCTCAAAGAACCGTTTTGCGAAGCATTGCACCGGAGCATTTGGAAATTGTGGCAGTTTTGCGGCACCGCTAGGGGGAATAAAAACACTTTCGGAAGAAGTGAGGCAGCCTCAGCGACGGTGAATGCTCCGTTTAGTTTAGATCGTAAGCTGGTTGTCACCTGGGTGAGTTTGGTGCCCAAGCTGGGAGAAACAATGAATGTAGACGGCAGAAAGTTGGGACGATTGCTACCATTTAGCAAAGGCAAAGGTTGTGTACAAATCCCACTCGGATTGGGTACACAAGTGTCCAAACCGTGAATGTACCTGAGAGATGAAAGAAGCCCAGGAATAGTTAGGAAGAAATGAACGCAACTGACGATGGGTGAGAAGCAATCCAAAGTAAGAGATCACGGGTTATCGACGTGAGAGCAGGGATTGTAAGTCAGATTAAACTGAATGTACCATAGGGTCTTATAGTGCAGTAAAGCAAGCTATTACATGAAACGTCCACTGGCAACGAGGGTTAGTTATATACACGTTTTGACTGTAATTTTCAGCAACGTTGTGAACGGTGATCATTAGTTTGCAAGAGGGGTTAAACGGGTAGAGCGATCCGGAAAAGTAGACAACGCGAGTTTGAAAAAAAGAAACGGTTTTTCAACGTCAGTTGGTTGGCCAAAAATGACATGCTAACTTGTGTGAAGTAAGGTGAACACATTAAAGATGATATACTGAACAATAAATCGCCAAGTGACTCTAGTTTACATTCCGCAGAAGGGATGCAAACGCGTGTTTTACATTAACCGAGTGAAATCTGACAGTGGCGTACGGACTGATGAAGAAGACTGTGTCCGGGTTGTCAAGAAAGAGATCGCAACTATGGTCAAAAAATAACATAATTAGCAGTGAGAGGATGGGGTATGCTACAGCCGAAAGCCGAGCCGTCAGTTGGATATCAGCCGCCAATCTCGTAGTGCTCAAAATTTAGAAATTGGTAGTGACCAGGCGATAAAACGGTAAACTTGAGTGAATCGGTTGTCGAAAGACTGCTAGAGTCGCGATCGTGTGAGTCAGCCTCGTTGAAAGAGGCCTTGTAGTTGTTTAGAAACTCAAGCGGTACTTCGCCATTAAATGAAATTGCCTAAGATGCCGGTACTGCCATTCAGCTATCCCAACATCGTTCTACTATTTTTCGATTGAAATTCTTGTCATTTTTTTATTGCAATTGTAAGTCAGTCCTTTACATTTTTAGTGGTCCTTCGCTGTGGGATCACGAGTGCAGCCAAATCGTGTGTCCGCCAGAACTGCCAGGGTTAAAAAGCGTACTCCTGTTGCGGCGACACGTACGCTTTTGACAGTTATGGGAGGATAAAAGGGTCCAACCGTTCGAATGCTCTCGGCAGCAGATCAATAGGTTGGATCTCAGTTATTGACACAACCACGGGATGTTTCGAGATACCTATGCCATCCTGAAATCATACCACAAGATCAAACTCCTGAAAAGGGGTCAAAAGTATATATGTGCTAAGTGGCCGATAAGGTTGTGGAGGTCTGCCTACTGCGTGTCATTCCGGTTACTGTAACAGGAAGAAATTAATTGAGAGACTTGGTCAGGCTAGTGTGTGCCGTTTACCTGGATGGCGGCCTCGGGACGGTCCACACCAATGGTTGGAGACCGTGTCAAACATGACGCAGTCACGAAGTCAGTGGAGTTCTTGCATTCGCTTTCTTTCATCTGTTTGTGAGTTTCGTTCCATTCTGATCAATCTAACGCATTCCCTTCTTGCTTCTATTTTCACTACATTCTATTCGCACCAAAACCCACTGTCCTAGCGTTGTGATTTATTGTTATTCTTGCGGTGTGAGTCGTAGCAAGTGGATCAAACGCACTTCGGTGCTCGGATCATAGTTGTTCAACTGAACTGCATGTCAAAAGAAATCCATCAGTCGCTTCCGGTGGGCAAAATGATGGCCGTAACAGGTTTTCATAGCGGATCCAATTGTCATCCGCCTAAGTCCATATCGTAGCAGACAAGGGCACATCTCCAAAGATATATTCGGAGTACCCGCCGTGCGGTTAAACTGCGGCACGCAATCTCTATCGAGACCTCGGTTCACTTTGAAGTAGACCTGGGTCATTCCGATCACAAAGACCGTATGCGAAATGAAGGTGATTCGGGGGTGTGGCTCCTCCCAAGTTCCAAACGAGGACGAGACCAGTTATGGGATGTCAGTGTTGTGAGGAACAACACCGAAACACTAATTCGGATACGGTCTTTTGATCGGAATGATCGAGGTCTACTTCAAAGTGAACCGAGGTCTCAATAGACATTGCGTGCCGCAATCCAACCACACAGCGGGTACTCCAAATCCAACTTTGAATTCTTTACCGCTGTGCTAAGCATTGCTCACAGCCATACGGAGCAACATTTCAGACTTTAAAAACTAGGCCGCGAGTTTCACCCCAGCTCAGGGTATCTCCATCTGGGGAGTCCAAAAGAGGACAAAACCGATTACGGGATGTCAGTGTTGAGAGGAAAAACACCGAAAGACCATTATGGACATCTTGTAACTGTCCCAGATGTCCATGAAAATTTGCCGCTCCGACAGACTTTCACCATCACCCTCTGTCCAACACCGAAATGCTGTGACAGAGTGGTGCCTTCGGTTGTATTGACGTTACATTATGTTTGTTCTTCCTGAGTTGCGTTTGTCGGGGGGCCTTACCGTGTCAAACTTCCTTCGGCGCTTTTTAAACAAGAGCGATTCTGCTGGAGATTTTCTGTCAGGGGTGGTTGGGTTGGGCGTAATCCTGTATGTTAAGAGAAAATTCTTTAGGACCTTTGTATTGATGTGTCTTTCGGTATTGAGCAGAACCATTTTGAAAGTATCTACAAATCGTTCCCCTATACTGGAGTGATAAGGAAGTTAACGAACGTGCTCCATGGTGTGCAGCGCACAAGATTCCGTGAAGTGTGAACAAGTAAACTGGGTCCATGTCGGAAACTAGTTTATGGGGAAACCGAAATGATTGAAAAGTTCCCCGAGGATTAGGATCGTGGCCGAAGTGGAGGACGTTACCAATTGGAAAATCTCAGGACACTTGCTATATGCATCGATAATGAGCGGCGTCTCTTGATTAGCCCTGCAAAATCAAGGTGAACTCTTGACTAGGTTTCACTGGGCCTCAGTCAGGAGCACAACGTCGAGGTAATTTCGCTGCTTGGCCACACTTGGAACGAAAACGTGTTAACTCCTCAACATGAGAATCCATGAACCGCCAGTATACATAACTTCTTACCATAGCTTACAACCGGTTGGAGCTTGGATGTTTAGCATGAAACTGCCGTAGGATTGTTTAGTTGGGATGATGACACATTCACCGAAGAGAATACACAGCCACAGACAGATAATGTAATCCATCTGTGGGAAAACTGCTGAAGTTGCGCACCAAAAGTTTTTCATGGCCACTGCAAATGGTCATACCTGCTTACTTGTGATAGCAACGGGTTCTGTAAAATGACGTTTCGAATCAGACTGAATGACGATGCGAGCTGGGTCAGTGTCTGAGAACACGTGGGTGATTTCTGTATCGATGGGAACATTCGCAACAACAGTGTCTTCTGGCTGCTGCTATTCGTCCAAAACTCGTGATAGCGCGCAAGCCTGACAAATGTTGTTTGTCGATCGGTACTTGATATTTAAATCATAACCAATTAAAGTTGTAGCTTATCTCTGTATACGATTGACGGAATACATTGGGATTTCTTTCTTCGAACCGAATATAGAAAGAAGCGGTTTGTGGTCCGTTAATAGAGTGAAATGACGGTCATATAGCATTTTATGGAAATGCTTAACTGCAAACACAATGCCAAGAGCCTCCTTCTCAATTTGGCTATAACTTCTTGTCGCCCCAGTAAACGGACGAGCGGCGTGGGTGACTGACCTCACGGATCCGTCCGGCAGTGTGCGAGATGACTGCACCGACTCTATAGCGAGATGCATCCGATGCCACGACAAGTGGCAGCTTTGGGTCGTAGCGCGTCAGCATCAGTTCTAAACATAACAATGACCTGATCTTGTCAGTGAGTTGTAATTTGATGATGCAGATCCAAAGAACATGTTCTATCAACAAACGGTTCAGTGGTAAACGTACGTCGCGCAACAATGTTAGGTACGTACGGCAGCAAATCACCATGCCAAAGAAGGATCTTAGGGTTGCCACGGCCTTAGGCAGAAGCATGTCCTTGATCGATTTGCTGGATCTGGCTGACACCTATTCTAGTCAATGGTGTCCACTCTCAAACGAAATCCATACTCTTTTATTCCACCAAGCACATGTTCCGCACGAAGGCACAATTCCTTCGAGTCAGATCCCATGATGATGACACCATGTAGATAAGTTGCGACATATGGTATTCCTTGTAGCATCGTATTGATTACCTGCCGAAAAATTACCAGAGTCGACTTAACCACAGGCAAGTATGCTGGAATAGTCCTTGACGGGTGTTTACCGTTAGCAACTCCCGAAATTCTTCCGACATTTCGATCTGGAGATAAGTATCAGAAAAGTCCAGTTTGGCAAACATTCGCACCGTTCAAACATGCAAAAATGTTTTCTGGCAGGGGAGTAGTTTTCTAAATACATGGTTCACCGATTTCCTTACAAATTTCATCGGGTATGACCATGATATCCGAGGCAGTGTCAACTTGGAGATGCATAGGCATGCTAGTTACAACTACCGTAACGAACCGTCTGTGCTTTTTGGCCCCTGCATCAAATGTAGCAAAAACAGGATAAAGCTGGGATCGTTGTTTTGTTAATAATGCCAGTACAGCCAATTATAGATAGTTAATGGAAGCGCTGCCCTTGAAGATAGTGAAGCTACAGTGATCCATCATGTGGCTCTGTTTGTTGCACTTTCCACAGCGATGATTTTTAAACGGGCCAAATCTGACGAAATGTCATCCCCCGTACTGTCAGCATTCGGATGGCCGCTTGTTCGGCACCATTGCTGGGATTCCGCGCTAGTCTGACAGAGCCAGCACATCTACAATACCTTGACAGATGTCTTGGGCAATCAAACTTTTATTCTATTTTATCTTTATCAGTCCTTGGCATTCAATGGTGGTGGATACAAGAGTAATGGAGGGATCTTGCCCAATTTAATTAAGCAACCATGCGTATTTCAGCGTCCACCGATGATTGGGGACTACAAATGAAAAGCAGTGCCTCGAACTGATCGTTCTTCATCTCAGCCAAAAGCGCTCAAAATGACGGTTGACATTACTTGCGCACATAACAATATAATATGAAGCGCATTGGACGAGCTTCATGCAACTATATCAGACGCTGAACAAAGACTGATAACCGAAAATGTCGTTTAGAATGGGTACCAGTTGATGGAATATGAAATCTTTGAAATATTTAAGTGGAATAAAGTTGACAAACTTGTCGTATTCCTTGGTTTCCGGCTTATGCAAAACTATTATGCATTCTGATGCGTCGTTAGCATCGGCAAATTCAGACCGATAACGGCTTCCTATGTCCCGAAGTAAGACCCAAAGATAAGGCTAGTATTAGAGTAGTACAAAAATTCACAAATGCTGTTAGAGACTGTATCCACGTAAGAATGTTGCCTCTAAGTGTGTGGTCTTGCTTACAACGGAAGATGTTGAAAGATGTTTTCGGTCGACGTCGTTTCACTTTCTCCAGATTGCTCCTGCTTACGTTGTAATGCTGGACAGCACTATTATTGAAAACGGCATTTCCGGGTTCGCTAATTAAAAATACTCCGTCGCCAGTTGTTAACAGTACGACAAAACATGTATCAGGAAAAGACATCGAAACGGCGGATTTTTAACGCGCATAACGAACGAGGATAATTTACCGGGCGTTGCCATCAGTGTCAGTGGTTTAGTGTGGGAGCAGAACCCGGGAAAGTTAGCGGCTGAACAACAAAAGGATATGCTCCTGAACAAGGCGATAACAGCATGAATAATGAGTGAGGCTGCGGTAATCAAGGCGAGTACTTGGGGTCATTCTTGCAGAGTCTGAAAAAGTTGCTCGTCAACGAAGCCAGAATTCTGATGCGAACATAAAAACGAGGCGCTGCCCCGGTGCCGATGGTCCCACCGAAATTGAAGAAAAGGTTGGTGATCACTTGTCACGAGAAAGCTCACATCGGTTGCACCAGGACGTATGATTTGCTTAGGCAGCGGGCTCACTGGGCGAGCACGAAAAAAGACGTCGATACATACGTGCCTTCGTGTCAGTAGTGACAACTCTTGAAAGGAGACAATCGGGGAACACCGCAACCTACGCTCTGGATTCCAGTGTCTGAGAATGGTGAAGTGTTGTCAATCGATGTGATGAGGCCCTTCCAGTTAATTACACGGAGCAAGCAGTATATAGTCGTGATGAAAAGCAATTCACCCGATGAATTGAAGTCGCAGGAATTCCGGATCAACGGATAGGCATAATAAAGCATACCGTGATGAGACATGTGATAATGAGCCACGAAATTCCGAAGGACATATTGACAGACCAAGGCTTATGCACTGAAAGTGACGAAATTCGGACAAGTCTGGGGAGACTAGGAAACAAGATGAGAACCGCTCCTTGGCACCCCAGAAAAACGGATTGAGGAGGATGGATAAATGACGATAGTAAAATGGTTGGCGGCGAAGGTAGGATAGGGAGGAAACCTTACCAGTTCTTTTGCTGGCTCATCGGGCGTCCAAGGAGCAAGCAAGCGCCAAGATATGCCCATTTTAGCTAACGTACTTTCGCGAACCTCGACTTCCTGTGATTCTAGAGGTGGGAGTGCGGTCAACTTGCCAGTTATCGCCGATGGGAACACAAAACAATAGGAACGTAGAGTACCGAAATCCGAGAGCAGTTCAGGCCCGGATGATGGAATTTCGAAGGCAACATGAGAAAACCGTCTAGAGACTTTCACATCGGACCGAAGGTGAAGTACAAAGACAACAAGGTGCGACCGCATGTGGCTCCGTGGAGAGGAAGTTAGCGAATGGAAGAAGTGGTACGAACAAGGAGAAGAAACTACGGCACACATGTAACAGCTCCGAAGGCCGGGAAGACTGCGTACGAGTTCTACGGACGCGGAAATTTTTTGGGGGGGGGGGATAGTGCATTACTAATGAGAAGTAGGTAGAAAAAGAGCCGGCAAGAGGAGGCCTGAGACATCTTGGATCGTTGCAGATGAAGGGCGCGTAGTGCACGAATCAACCACCAGAGATACGCTTTGGATGAATGTGTGCAGCGGATCAGAACGAAATGTGCAGATAGACCCGACTTCTCCATAATCTAACTATTATGCTATCAGAAGGTGGGTTCTCTAGTACACAACTTTTCTGCACTGTCTTGCATCCTCAACACTTTAACACACAGGATTGCCAAACGTGACAAAAGTGGTAGAGACTGGTTAAGGCCACAGAACACATGAGATCGGATAGCGCGATGCAACAACTGTAGACCAGAAAAGGAAACTCTTACCAAGCAATGAGGCTGCCATCGGTTGGATGTACAGATATGACGACATCCGGATCGTGTTGCCACTCACTGATGAGAGTCATCACTGATTTGTCCAGCAGGGCCAGACTGTCGACCAGATTAAGTGTTTGGTTAGGATCCTGAGCAGCTTCATCAGCTAAGTTAAGACAAAAAAGTGTGTAAGGATAACAAAACGTAAATGATTCGAAACATGACATGCTTAAATCTCCACTTTGTATGTGACTCCGGTTGAAAATGAGACGTTCCGATCGAAACCAAATCCCAAACAAATTCAGAAGCTAACAAACTCGACGCCAAATGTGCGAGATGAGTAGCAACACCAAAACGGCACAAGTGGTATGAAAAAATATCAAGTTAATAAGTCAATTTAAATATGTCGAACTTATAGAACAGTCAGAGTCAATTTAAATATGTCGAACTTATAGAACAGTCAGGTCAATTGCCAGAAAATGTTGTATGGAATCAAGACAAAACCAATGAAACATCATAATATTGCTGTTGGACATTTTTGATTTTAATTGCCTATTCACTGAAAGTATGGATTTTCTGAACAGATTTTACCGTCCAAGAGACAGGTCTAAAAGCGACGGTGGGAAAAATGAGGCATGTGTGGCAGGTTAACCATAGATGGAACTTCGAGAGCAGCTGTGAAGAGAGCCCAGTGTGAAAAATGCACGAAAAAATTAAAATGAGATGTGAAACATGAATTTCGCTTTATAATCCCAAATAAGAATACCAGAAGACGAAGATTATGGGATAATACTGTCATATCGTACATACTCGTCAACCATATACAAGCAATTAACAAAGAATACAAAGCAAAGTCACACGAAATCAATAATTGAGCAAGCGTTTTCCGATTGGTGCGTTGCACGCTATCACGGTATGTTTAATGTCACTGTCAGCTGTTTTTGGACACACAGTGTTGGGGGCTGTCGATTGATAACAATAGCCCCGAGTAGCTTGAGTATATGAGGTCTTTGATTGCGCATGAGGACGGTGAATGACTCACCCGGATTTATTTGGTGGCCAGTGCTCGTCAAATGCTTCATAATTGCGGAGACAACTTTGCTTCTCAATTCACCGCGTGCGATCGTCGCATGTTCCATCTGCTTGTGGAGCCACTTGGATTCGAACACCCAGATTTCGGGTAGTGCAGCCAACATGGCTGTCATCGCAGCTACACGTGAATTTGTATAAGCAATGGGACGTGCGCTGCTTCCACACAGATGTCCTAAATGAACGCTTAAGTAGTGGTCATGTGGTCACGAACAAGCGTAGCTCTGCTGCGTTGTTTGTCTTTTTCATTGAGGCACTTATTCTTTTAGCAGTGACTTTCATGAGATGGTCGCCTTTGAAAGGCAACTCACTGAAAACCCGTTTCTTTTGAACCGTTATCTCTCGATCTCGTTTCAGCGACTCACTGTAGCGGCTTATGAATTGTAATGGATAAGCATTAGCTTGGAATACAGCAAACAGCAGTCCTTTCTTTGCTTTCTGTGTATCTGTGGTGCAGATCATGTGAGCCTTGAGAAATGACTTTGCTGATCACGTGGTTGAAAACCAGAAGCATTCGTGAATGGAAGGATCGTGAAGTTTCTGAAGAAATACAGTGAACGAACGCTGCGGTAGCTCTGGGACAAGAAAGTAGTGCGAGACAGCATAAAAAAAACTAGCGCTGGCACTGCTTAATCTAGAACGGGATCCTTAGAGTGGACAAAAAGATGGCAGATGAGAAAATTATGCATGAACAGAGAATGGAAAAGTATGGAAATGTGGCGCAGCAGTGTGCGCCAGGCACATAGAAAAATGGGAGAGTCTCTAAGCGAACCTGAGTGCAAATCCGTAAAGAAGGAAACCAAAGCAGAGATCAAATAAAAGTGTGATGACATTGCCAAGTAAAAAGCAAAGCGACGGATAGTCTGGATGCGTGAAAGAAGGACATATGTCACAAGCGGATCAACAAAACCAGTCAAAAAAATAAAGCTGAATGTTGTTTTCAGATCTCTAGGCGTTGGATAGAAAGTGAGGATAAAAAGGTGCAAAAATACATAAAAAGGAGAAGTCATACTTAAGCGTTACGAGTAAGTATGATCTGCGAAAGTGAATGAACAGTCACGCGTCAGAAATAATACAACACCAAAATGACAAAAATGCATAGTAAGATTATTGTAAAGCAGATCATTTAAAAACAGGAAAGAGCAAGAGGCATGCTTCCAGTGAAGGCAAAATGCGTACGTATCATCGTGTGTAGCAGTACGGCAGACATTCGTCTGTAGCGGAAAGCCTGGACCTGAACGCATTGCGATAGTTTTCATATCTCCCTGTCCCATTTCAGTACACTGGGTGGCACGTTCCAATATATTCAGAACCACTTATAGAAGTCAATGATTGGGTATCAGACAAGCTCAGCTTCAGTATCCACTCCTTTGTAGATCGAGTAGAAGCCGATGGCTCTCTTCCATCAAAACATAGAAACAGGAGACAAGAGGTTAAAGATTAAAAGTACATTTCGATTACAAAACCCACACCAATTCAACGTGTTACGACATGCCGCAATTCTGCCGGTTCATTTTCAGTAGTGCGCGAATATGCCGGAATAGATCCGCGTTACAAAAAGGGATCGAAGTACGACGCACCCAAACATCTATTGAGCTTAAATTTTGGAAAAGATTGCGAAAGACGTAAGTTTCCTCTCTCAAAGAACCTTAATGGCCCGGCGCAGCATAGTGTCTGTAAGCAGCGTTCTTGACAGCAATATCACGTGGAAGTATTAGGCCACATAAAAAACCCAGCGACGAAAATAAGTCATATATTGTAATACTCCTGGATGTGCAAACGGTCTTCAGTCAGGGGCCTCGTGACAGTTCTGGAAAGCTTGGCATTGTTTGGTATAGTGGACTCCTTACTCTACTCCCATCCTAATGGCAGAATCCAACAGTAAGGATTGAAGACACCATTTTCCATCGCAGCCCGGTAACAACTTGCGCAAGACAAGGCCGTGTTGGGGGCCCTCTACTATACACCATACACATCAATGATGTCACTGATATATTTTTCTCACGACTGTCTATGAGCGCCGATGACATTGAAGTTGTGGGGATGTTCGATCCGGTAGACCAGAGAACGGCACTTAACAGCGTACAAGCCAACTTAGATGTCCTTGAAGTGCGATGCTCCACCTCAAAAATATGCTTCTCAGTTGAAAATGCGCTCACATATCATTGCGATATCCAATTTAACACACCGACCTTCGTTCGTAGACCGCTTACTCGCGGTACTCAAGTAAATGACCGAGGATTATACTACCCAATCTTTCGAATCTCGTAGAACATGTACAGCATACTGTAGCAGTGTGCTTACAGTCTGCTTACATCAGTGGTTTTCAACCTGGGGGTAATTACCCCCAAGGGGGTAAAATGGAATTGTACGGGGGTCAATATAAGTACTAGGATTGGGTCATAAATATGTCACCAACCAGAATTAATAGCAGAGGTATCTGTATCGAAACATGTGACTAGAAACCCATCAGTGAGTAAAGATTGGATTATACCATTTCCGGTAATAAATTTGGCAACATTGTACAAATGCAGCTACATGGCGCCGCTATTGGCTCGCTCCTTGATCGTTGTTCTTTTGAGTCAGTTACTCGTTTACCGGGTAGAATTACAGAGCTGGATGAACACTAAGGTAGGTGCATAGGTCAGTCGATCAGGTAAAAAGGCGATCTAATGTTTACCAGCTGGAAGAAACAACAGGTGATAAGTGTTCGGAAGGTATCGATGCAGAGTGGTGGTGAAAAGCAGCCACCCAGGAAGGAGTTGGAAGGGATGATTGAAACAAATGAGAAGCCACTGACATCTGATCACGTTTGATCAGGGATCACACACAAACGAGTCCTAAGATGCCTTGGGTCGGTATGATGGCAAGCGTTGTCAAATGCACAAAAGGATTCGGTTTGGGGTCACACAACCAAGGCAGGTAGAGTAGATTGGAGACCAGTGCTCATAAGGTGCTGGGTTGATTACATTCATCTGCAACGCAGGATGGATAAAACAGGCGATTCGGGTTCACGACGTATCGATGCAGAGTGGTGGTGAGAAGCAGTCATTCAGGAAGGAGTTGGAAGGGATGATTAAAAGAAGTGAGAAGCCACTGACATCCGTTCACGTGTGATCAGGGATCACACACCAAAGCGAGGAATCGAATGAACTTGGAGCACAACTTATGATGTTAATTGGCTGAAACCGCACCGAAAATATATCAGAAATTGGTAGAAGGAAGCAATGTCAACCGTCTCATTAACTTACATCACCAGTTGATTTGGTAAACGTTGCTCAAAAATAGGTTTTTGTTTATCTGTCTTTGCATCACCGGATTTAGTCACACAAGGACCTATGCACAACCATGCGACTCGGCTTCACGAGCCCCACACGAATCCATCCTCGGCGAATCACCACCAAACCGCATTTTAATAATTTCGAATTCATCCATGCTTGCAACTATGAGCACAATTTTATCTTCTTCTGTCCCATAAGAAATTTTACAGTCCTAATCGGAAGACTATTTCGAGCGCTATTCAAAAGCCTCCCTAACATTCATTTTGGTCACAGTTAATTCAGTGTTCATGGCAGCAGATTCCAAATCTGATAGTTCTCAACGCGTCCGGAGAAACACTAGACGGCTATTTCTGCCTGTTGGCTCTTGTCAATAATGTGCCTCAGCAGGACGCATGATCACTAGCGGTTGGAACTACCGCTTAGTAGCATATGCCATTGACCCAGGCAGACAACCAAGGACTGTCATGGTTCACAAGCTAACTGCGATATAGCGCGGCTTATCGTCCACTGCCAAGAAAGCCACCAGCGTTGCAGAGGACAGGTTTGGCCCGGAAAGGCACAACTTCTATTGACAGTAGTTATATACGACGGTTTTTAGAAACTGTTAAAGTGAATATTTTGATGTAGGGGATTTTGATGCAATTAATTCGGAGTAATCAATTTGGTCCTCTCTCACGAAAGGCCCTGCTGCCATTGGACAGTGCTTTCCACGCCACCTCGTTCTGCCTTCATTCTATCCCAGTTCGCGGGCGATTGCCTGCTATCCATCCACTTATCGGTCAAATCGATAACGCGC